TGTTGACAGTAAGAATTGACACACGTACAGTAAGAATACTGACATTATAATAGATGTGTTGAAGGATACACATGCTAGATTTTCCCCTATACTTTCCTCAAAACTCCACTGACATTGAGTGTGTGTTGTTTATGTATGTTGTGAGCACTTGGAAACCCAATCCCTTTTCTCCGACTCTCTCGTTTTTCATGTCAAAGCGTGAGTTGTTCTAAACTTGTTGTGAAACTGTAACACTCTGACACCGCCAATGTATTATACTTCCCCAGTTAAAGTTTAAAAAGGGAATTTCCCTATTGCCTTGAGGTGTGTCAGGCATATTGTTTCACTGACTACAATCTGAGGTAGGAAGCAGAGGTCGTGGAAGACTCTGCTCATTCTCCACTGGCCCAGAGCATGGAGGAGACAGGTCTCTCATACCACACTCGGTTACGGTGATGAAAACTCAGAAACAGCCGTGACCTTCGTTTGAAGTAGTGTGGGGGGGTCCTGACCAGTATGCAGGATAATTGCACAAGACATATACAACAAGCACTCAGACCCCTACCCCTTACTACCATGAAATTCAACGAGCTTCCTTTATGCACATACAGTGTACACTGCCAAAAATAGGAGCTCTTTTGGCTAGAGATAACACATTACTCAGAAAATTCGGCAAGTGGAGCTAACACAAAAACTTCAATTCCCAACAACAACATGCAGGGCAAAACTCTTCACCCATTTATATCCAATTCAACAGTACATCCTTTAGTATCAAATCAAAGCATTGTCAAACTAGGTTGGCCCCTCTAATGATACAGACGAGTCTCACTAGGAAGGTTTTGTAGTCCTTGAGGAGGAGCTGCACTTGTTTCTGTGCGAGGACTGGGATATTTGAGAGGTAGCCATCTCTCCAGAACTGATCCACCTGCTCCTGACTCAGCTGGTGGGAAATCCAGTCATCTCCACTCTCTCCTCCCTCCTATATACCACCACACCATTATAGAGCAACAATATTGTGTGCACGTGACGCACACTAGTTACGACGTACTGTATGTACAAGAAAGTGCGCTGTCTGAACATTCTTCCACCACACTGCTTACACACAAAAATTCGACATTTACCTATAATGCTCTCCTTGCCTCAGTCACTATGATATATATACATGCTCCCGTTGATTGAGTCACGGAAAAGCATAAGTATCTGCAGCATGTTGCATGCTTGTTCATAGCTATGGCAAATTACTCTAAAATAGACAGATAGATCCCCAGGTTCGTCTAGCTTTGGATCAATAAACTTCAAGGCGTAGTGCGTTTACCTGCACTGAGAGGGAGCCGAGGGAGTGGTGAACGGTGGAGAGATCAGTGAAATCTTCAGGGACGGACGCAGTCACTGCTCCTCTCTCGTGCTCACAGTTTTCGTAGCGTTTTTCTGTCGCTGCCATCATGCACCCGCCCCGAGCCCCGCCCACACACACCAAATGAGCGCATGCGCACAAACGCGTGTTCTGCTGAGCTAGTATAGTAGCGCACAGTCTCTCTTCCAGACCTGCAGACAGAGCTCTTCCATGCAGACAGACTCGAAGAAGGTTCAGCAGAGATATGGCACGAGTGGCAATCATCGGCGCCGGTGTATCGGGGCTTTCCGTGGGGCTGTGTCTGGTCGATACGCACGAAACCAAGGATCTCGACCTCGTCATCTTGTCCGACAAATTCAGCCCCTGCGATGGGCTGGCCAGCGACGCTGCTGGCGGTCTCATCCGACCCACGGGCCCCTCGTCCTACGGCGGTGCCGTAATGGACGCGGCCACCCGCCGCTGGACTGCAGCCACTTACGACCGTCTTCACCAGCTGCACTGTAGTAACACTGGGCCCGAGTGCGGAGTGACAAAGATGCCTTTCTTCCACGCACACAGAGAGAGCCACCCCCCTCTTCCGTGGTACGCCCCGGCCCTTCATCCGGAATTTAGGGTCCTCTCACCCGCAGAGACGGAGGAGCGGGGTTTACCCGTTGCCCAATTCGGATCGGCGTGGGAGTACGAATGCTACCGCATCGAGACGTCCCAGTACTTGCACTACCTCGCCCGCCGCTTCAGGGAGAGCGGAGGCACCATGATACAGAGGAGAGTGAGAAACTTGAAAGAGCTGACTGGAGACTACGACGTGGTGATAAACTGCACTGGGATCGGAGCCCGGGACTTGGTTGGGGACAGCAGCGTATTCCCAGTGAGAGGACAGCTAGTCGAGGTACAAGCAACTGGTGTCAAGGCAGCATACTTTACCGCGGAGCCAGGGAAGAAAGCCACAACTTACATTATCCCCTCGAATGACAGGGTTCTACTCGGAGGGACAGCGGACACAAACGACTGGTCTACGGCAGTGAAACCGCAAGACACAGACTCTATATACAGCAGATGCATGGGGCTGTGCCCTCAACTAAAGGGAAGTAAAATCGTGAGAGCATGGGCCGGACTAAGACCAGTGAGACCCACTGTTAGAGTTGAAATTGACGAGGAAATTGGGGGTGAATCCCTGTTGATTCACAATTACGGCCACGGTGGGCATGGCTTTACCTTCAGCTGGGGGTGTGCCACCGACGTTGCACAGATGGTGTCAATGAACCTGCAACTCGCGGAGAAATGTCAATCCAAACTCTAGGGTGCAATGCGAAATTTATTTGCACAGTAGTGTAAGACACTATTGCCAGGTTATGGGTTATTGGTGCAAACACAACCCCAAATATAAAATGAATCCATCAAACAATGGAGGCATGTGGAATCACATATCTATGCCAATGTTATATAACTCGCAATTTCTTTCAGCGCTTGTCAAATAATTATGCAACTGTATAAATTAACACTCCCATAATACTGAGACAACAATACCTGTATAATTTTCTTTGAGTGAAGTGATAATATGATATTTACAACTCTAAGATTGGTCTAACGTTCCCTTGTCCCAGACCTGTTTCTGAGAGTGTTGCTCCAACATTTCTCCCACACATCTGTCCATCATAGTCTCGTCCAGTCGTCCCTCCGTAGAACCATACGCATCGGCCTGTGTGTGATGAGTCACCACAATTGCACAAATTTCTATGCATTGTCGCACTATGAATCAATTTTTTTTACGAGATACTCTAACCACTCGTCAAAAATAATACTCAGGCGGCAGCAATAATCATGCAAATGCAGAATATTTTCGGTCTCAAGCATCCAGTAATCCCTAACATCATTACGGAAGCTGAAGTGGGCACCTTAACCAGTCCTTTGCGTAGGCATCTAAGGGGAACAGTGGCGGGCCAAACGAGCCTACCTAGCTGTCTGTATACACTGTGCATACCGCTATATAATGTTCTACGTAATTCCAAATACGCAAAAAAACGTCATTACAACTGCTCATGCTTGCCAAAAATGTGTGGCATTTTTCTCGTAGAGTTATCCAGCTCTCTAAAATAATGTGGCCAGAGACAGCAGAGCCTATTCACAAACCTGCCAGGCGATCACCAGTTTGGATATTTCTCTCCCGGAGAATCCTTCAATTCTCCTGGATATCTCTGTCAGTTTCTCCTCCCAGTCCACATCAGGAGGTAGCGGGATGTGCCTGGACACAATAATGACAAGGAATCACCCAAACCATACCGTAAAAAGTTTGAGGGGAAATTTTTTTAACACCAATCAAATTTATGGTAAAATATATGACTGTTTGTCTGGCGAGGTTTAACTCCTACTAACATTCCTAAAACCTCATGATGCAGAAGGAATGCAATTAGTGTTTGGCCATAATAATAATACATAATTGAACCTCTGGTTTTAATGGCAGATTCAAACATTGAAACGTAGCACTATTCCCCCTCTGCCTCCTCCCCTCCCACCATACCTTGGTCTTTTCCACCAGGCCACTCTGGGAGGGTCCAGTATGTAGAGACTGAAGTAGAGTTTCAACATGCGGAGTCTCTCGGGCTGCCCGGGCTTGGAGAACCTCACTAGGTCATCCAGTCTGTCGTTGACGGCCCAGTCAAACTGGTCTGGCTGGTTACTAGCCAGGACCAACATGAACCTGTGTGGGGAGCAAAAATTGTAATTCGTCACAGGAAAGACTGTGGAAAAGAGGGTGGCCTAAACCTTTTCGTACTTTTAGCAAGAAAGTGAGGGTAAGGACAGGCCAACGAATGGTCCCTGATACTTTTGCAATAGCTAGAGAGTGCAGAGCAAATAATCTCCAGAAGTGGTGGCTTAAACTTGAGGAGAAGAACAGGCCAACAAACCGTCCGCCACTCCCTCCTTTCTGCATGCAGGTAGGGGGTACGACAGGACAACCAAAGATGATGTGTGGCCAGAGAAAGCAGAGAGAGAGAGAGAGAAAGAGGCAAACCCCTGACCTTCTGGAGGCCTCTCCGGTGCGATAGAGAAATGCATTGAGAGTGCTTCTCAAGTCTTCACTAATAGCCACCTACAGAATGTATATACACACCACAGTAACTACGCGAGTATGCATGCCGAAAAAGGTTCATTATGATAATATTATGTTCTGTATCCCAGCCGATTTTGCAGCAAAGAAAATATGTGTCGAAATCACCGCCAACCCATTTGCATCACAGTGAAGTACACATGCCTTGCTTCTTTTCCTGAGGAACGCATCAGCTTCATCCACAAACAGTACCACTCTGAGGGAACAAAACGAGAAAACTTCAACAAAAAAAGGCAAGCGTCAATCATTGCACGTCAATCACTGTAGTGGTAGTGGTAGTGATGTGTTCCAATATTCAGTACGTGCGATTCACCAAATTTGCAAAAGTACTTTGTTTCACCGGTTCATATGTAGTGAGTGGCCTTGTGGGTTCTTTCATGTGCAGTGAGACAAACAGAAACTTGAATCATCGTCACTACGGACTTCCCTTCTCTATCTCGAGACTCTCTCTCCTTCAACCATCCCACTCACCCCTTCCTGCTAGCCGAGGCCCAGTCAAAGACCTTGTGCATCGTCACTACGGACTTCCCTTCTCTATCTCGAGACTCTCTCTCCTTCAACCATCCCACTCACCCCTTCCTGCTAGCCGAGGCCCAGTCAAAGACCTTGTGCATGGCAGTGACTCCGTCTTTCCCGAGAGGAACTATGTCGCCTCCAGTCAGAATGGCATAGTCCATCCCCGAGTGGTGGGCCAGACTCTGCCGGGGAAATTGGAAGAAAAGGGTGCCGAATGCCTAAATTCACTTCCCTCCCTCCGTGGATCGGGATGGACGCGCATGCAAAGATGAAAAGTTTCTATGTACGGTTGAATTGTTTGGTGACGCACAAACATTGAAAAACACTTCAAGGGATAAAAAAATTAGTAGCAAACATGAATTTCGTGGGGAAAATGTTTAATCCAATAATACAAAATGTCCCTGCCTCCAAAACAGCTTACAAACAGTGAAATTGGTACTAACGTTTGCTCTTGCCTTTCACTGACACCCCCTGATTCATTATTGGTGGTCGTGTCTCTTCCTACATACTAAATTGTGTCATATCACATAGGCCGGGGTTTCTGTGTTGTGTTGCATTGGAAACTCTTAGCCCAGGTGGTTGAGCTGCCATGGTAACTCAGTGGTTTGAGTATATACTGTCTCAAACTTTGATAGGGGAGCTCTTTTTCTACACACACTAACTCATGATTCATTGGGTCAGTGTATAGCACATCATCTGAGTACTATATAGTGGTTCACCTTGGCGAACATGGTCTTCCCGGTACCAGGAGGACCATACATGAGGACGTTGCGATAGACTCCTCCATTGGTACGTGTGTTTATAGTGGCTCTGGCCAGGGCTCTCAGCTTGTCTTCAAACACTGGCTGGATGGGTGTGTGTGTGTGTGTGGGTGGAAGGGATTAACAATGGAAGAATAAGATTCTTGTATGCAAGTTGGAAATGGCAAGAGGTGGAGGGGAATGATTACCCTAGTACCCACGTCCCATACCTGGAAGACAATGCCAGCCAGAGGGTCCGAAGGTCTACTGAACACTCTCCTTACAGCCTGAGTGAATGTGGAGAGAGGAAAGAAGTAAAAACCTCCGTAAATGTCACAAATTTCATGAATTCGCTAAGCATTCTTAGCACTGCTTGTACATACATACATACACCAGCCAATCCTGTCTTTTCGCAAAAGGTATGCTTATGAGCAACTCACGAACATTTGTGCAAGTTTCAGTTACACAAAAAAGCACAAAAGGCATACAAATACCACCACACCCTTCCACACACAAGTATTGACCTTGACAGGACGTCTTAACCCCTGGAAGAAAGAGAGACGAGATGTCTCCCTAATTAGCGAGGGTTTCCCCAATCTGGCCTCCACGTAACGAGCAGCAACTCCTGTCCCCATCTTGGCTGCGTACACACCAACAGCTATCAGAGTGATCCCCGCAGCCTGTGAGATGAGAGATATAAATAGGAAGTTCTGAATAATGGACACTGGGACAAGCCATTTTGATGAAGTTGTTCAATTGTGCATTGGGTACAGTACATAGCAATGCCTATTCACTTCAATACAGGGAAAATTTATATTATATGTGACGGGCTATGCATGGGCACTGCACATGTATATACAGTAATAATATGAGCAAAACACATGCGAACTAATGAATTGCTCGGGCTCGCTCCCCCGCCAAAAATGCGTGGCATTTGTCTAGTAGTGTAGGTGATGACTGACAGTGGCAGAGACTTTGTCCCAATCAGTGATGAAATTGGACACCCCCTGACCAATGAGAGATCCTGCTGCCCTGTTAGTAGATGGAGGGAGGAAGAGGGAGGGAGGGAGGGGGGCAAGAAGAGAGAGAGAGAGAGAGGGAGGAGGGGAAGTAGAAGTAATGAACATTTCTAATGGTGGCATAGAAAAGAATGGGGTAGCTCACCTGGCAGAGCGATCGCTTAGTCGTGGGTTCGAATCCACCCAGGTCATCTATTTTTCTACGTGTAGTAAGTTCAACTGTTTGCCTTTCATTTGCTTTGCCTTATACAGTTACTATGATGCAATAGTGACATAAAGCTCCATTTTTCTTGTTTTTTGGTTGGCAACACTTGAGATGAGACTACGATAAGGGGAGGGTGGTATATAGTAGTAGATAGAGAAAGAAGAGTAGGTCTAAGGGTAGAAGGTAGAGTGAGACGTAGAGAAGGGGGAGGAGACCTGATGCTCTCCAGGACAGTGGTCCTGTACTCTGCAGCCTTCACTCTGATCTGCTCCAGAGCCAGGTCCTGGTTCTCTCTCTCCATACGAGTCCTGCAACACGTGTACAGCAATCACAGACAGGTTCGAGGGAGTACAATAATTATGACAAATAAGGGCCAAATGTTACTTGAGGGGCATGTGGCAGTATATAAGGGCTACTCAATTGCGCATTTTCACTGTGCCGCTATTGTTCTATCTTCTTTAGTAACATTTCTAAATTAGCCCTTATATACTGCCACATTCCCTTTAAAACAGAAACCGAATTGCATTCTTGCCCCAATTCCTTTTGATCTTTAGTTCTAAAAGAGAGAAGACTAACTTGCCACTGATCTCTGCCTGGACTCTGGCCATCTCGTTCTTGTGTCTGAGTTCACTCTCATACTCTATGGTGGCTGTAGACAACAGTGCAGTACTTACATACATAAAGGAACTGTATATACATAGGTACAGTATGTCACAATATATATATACAAAAATGCCAAAAATCACATAAGAGGAATATTATTACACGAGAACATTTGTCTACGTAGAGTGTAGGGTGAATTCCCTGTAGTGCGAGACTGACCTGACAGTTGTATAATTTTCCTAAAATTTAGCAAGAGAGTATGCATTACATAATAGAGTGTCCAAGGTTGGGTATCTTGACTCCATCTCTATAAAGTGTAGCACCACTACTTATGAGTTCAACTACACTTGATCAGGACATTTGATTTACTTGATACAAACCTCTCCTCATGGCCTCTTGTTTCTTGACAGACTCTTCTTGTTTACGCAAGTTCTCCTCTTGGATGTGGCGCTGAGGAGGGCAGTAATGCAGGCACATACATTATTGTGAGTATGAATGGCAGACAAAGTGTAACGTGAATACATCCCGGTCTCCATCAGCCGGTTGACGAACGATGGTGGTAGGGCTGACCCCAATCGTAGAATGTGGTTGAACTAGTGAGTTTGCAAAGCGAGCCTACCTAGTCATCTGAACGCCCCGATTTTTCACTTTGTCTTTCTAATGCTGTCACAGTTCGGCAATGCGCATTTGGGAACATCACATAGAGTTTTTCAGCTTATGCACAACAGATTTACATGTATCTATTCGTTCAAGTAGCAATGTCATAATGGTTTTGCCGCTATGTTTGCCCAAAAAAGTGTTCCAGTAGCAATGCATTATATGACATTGCTACTTGTATCTATTCATTCAAGTAGCAATGTCATATGGTTTTGCCGCTATGTTTGCCCAATGCACTATTCATGCTTTGTAAACAGTTAACACACAAGACCCCAGAGATAGTGTGTAAAGAGTGTGAGTGAAGGAAGTGGATGAGAAGATGGAGAAAGAGAAGGAGGGTGAGAGGGAGAGGAAGGTGGGAGGTTGAGGGAAATTAACCTGCTGTGCAAGTTGGTGTCGTATCGCCTTCTTGCCAGCTGGTCCTCGAACTTTGCCCTCTCCTGGTGCTGCTTGACTCTGCACCCATCGTCTTGCGCGCTCTTCGTGATCGGTTCTCACTTCTCCACCTCAAACTGCTTTGCACGTCGGCTGGTGTGTGTCTGGAGAGAGAGAGGAGCAATACAAATAACAAAGGAGCGGGAAAGAGACGGATTGCAGTTGGGAGGTCTAAATTACTAGCTATCTGAATGCAGGATTTTATGTGACGGGCACGGTCAGGACACATACTGTCCTGGACCTACATGTGCTAAAGAGGCTGGACGAACGTGTTTGCTTCGTTCCACACCAAAATGTGTTCAGTCGTTCTCGACGTAGCTACGTGGTTCCTGAAATGTTCACAGGGAAGGAGCAAGGGTTAGCGTATGTGAATCTATGACCAATTTCGTGTGTAGAAGTAATGAAAATTACGAGCGTATGTAAATGTCGGTCTTGACTCACTCTGAGATATAAGCACATAGGCGAGGCACTCGCACGACCGGAAACGAAGGGGTGAAGGACAATGTTGGGGTATGTATAGTAAGCGAGGCGTGACTAGTCAAAGGAATGGGAGCTCACCAGCCATTTCCTCTTTCCTCCTCTGCTGCTGCATCTGCTGTGTCGTCTCTGCATACTGGCACATCTCTAGAGCCTCTCTGGCATGACTGCACACACCATCACGTCCTGTGGGGTTATATTCCAAGCATACATACACATAGAACCCTCTCCCAAGACCTCTCACAATGAGGCAAAGCTTTCCTTCCCTTTTCTTTCTTTCTTTCTTTCTTTCTCTTATGCTGCTTCTCAACTTTCCCCAGCGGAAAAAGGACACTTTACAGATGTGGGACACGTGAGGTGTGCGTGATGACGTGACAGAGGAGACGCGAGTGAGTGAGGACACGACGCGCAACGGACCTAGGAGTGAAAAGTGCGAGGGAAGCGCGCTGGAACAGCGCTAGGGCAAGCCCTCATCCATTCAAAGTGGGATAACACCATTTGCGTGCCGCTTCTCCCTCCCTCCACCACCTTCGCGCGCGCGCTGCGCGCTCGCCTGCTGCTTATCCTCCAGCCTAGCAGTGCCGTAAGTGTGTGCGAGTGATTACACAATCTTTCAGGAAGTAAAATGTTTTTTACAACTGACGGAACATCTAAACAAGATATTTCAGGTGCATCTTATCATGTGCCTATAACTCAACAGGCACTGGAAGGTCCCACCCAGATATGCATTTATAAGTGGTTGATAAGGTCATCTCTACAAACTTGTTTACGTTCGCATCAAGAGGAAAGGGATCCGTGGTGTGGGCTAACCTGTTGAGACGGGGGAGGAGGTGAGGGAGACAGCGAGTCCTGACTTTGCCCGCTGAGACCAAGCCGACCCCACACCCACGACATTTGTTATAGCTTCCGAGGGGGACACGCAACACGTGGTATGTACGCGTTGACCTTTGTACCACAGCACATTCGCGCAACATAATTATACGCATGCGCAAGATTGGGAAACTTCCGCCCCCACGTACGCACCTAGATCGCAAGGGCCTGAATCATTGGTATCCAATCTCTGCCATTCGCTGCCTATAGTAGCTATACTATTCCTCATTCACCTCATCAAATGATTGCTGCAATGCTCGTGAGTGTGAGAGTCCTGCATAAAATCAGCTTGTGATTAGAGCTCAAGCTGTACTGGCTATGCTACTTTTGCAGATTCTTACTTTATTACTATCAACCATGAAAATGCATCAACTAGCTTTCTGCCGTGTGTTTATCCCATCTTGCGTGGAATCGGCACTTTCTATGGCAGTGGGAGAAAACAAACATACTGCTGTTGATGTTGACAGCTATGCCAGGGCTACGGAAGTCCTGTTTTTGTTGTTTCTGTGCACAAACAATAACCACCCCTCACCAATTCCAGTCAAAAGCTATTTTGTAGTTAACACTTACACCTATGGCAGTGGGAGAAAACAAACATCTGCTGTTGATGTTGACAGCTATGCCAGGGCTACGGAAGTCCTGTTTTTGTTGTTTCTGTGCACAAACAATAACCTCCCCTCACCAATTCCAGTCAAAAGCTATTTTGTAGTTAACACTTACACCAGCCAAAAATACTTGCCAATGTCCCACACCAGCATCAAAATGCCTAAAAAAATCGTCTCAGATAGTAGAAATCCATGAGAAGTGGGGTACACAATTAGCTATCCTGGTTAGCTACTATAGCTAAGGGTATTATATATGTAAGTACTTGCCACTTGTTTCAAAATTTATCTGTCTTCTTTTGGAGAAAAATACCGTAATAATGAAATGGATATAGAAGACTTCATTGGTTATTTGTTCTCTGTGCAACAGTGAGATTATTAACCCTCGGCGCGCATACAGTAAAATACTTCAGTCTGTGTGTCGACGCTTATTTTCATGACTACGGGCGGCCAATTAGCGACACCAACGGCTTCAGAACTATATACGCGAACCTGAATTTTCCTCAAACGACTGCGTTCGAGAGATATGCTGTGAATAGCTATGCGCATGCATAATCGAACTGGGCTTAGCTACTTCTATGGAACGCCAAACACGAAAAACCCCGATGTAACATCATCCTGTTTTACGCACGCTCTGGGAAGCGTTAGCGTAAATGTTTTCGCAAACGTTCGTTGCAACGTTTCTGTAACAGCAATCTTAATGTTCGTAAACGTTTTTTGTCGGGTTTGGCGTTCCATATACTTCGACCTGATCCGCTTACTCTGTGTACCTTGCCGGCATAAGAAGTCCCAACAAAGGGCGTGTATCGACTGCCGCATGCTATCTTATAGTGTAGCTTGCCCGTGTATGACTCTCCGGCGAGCTACTTGCGCGGAGACCGCGAGTGTAAACGCATAGTGATAACCCAGCCCATCAATTATTAGAGGTACTGCACATGCGCTGTGCGCCTAGGGTTTGCACTTCAGTGCTAAGTATTGTGAGTGAAATTTGTGCTGACTACGTAAAAATTTATACGTGTTGCTGAAGCAATTTTCAATTCTGTAGCAATGAAGCCTGTGATAGTTAATGCCTTGGCTCTTATAGTGTCTGTAGTCAACTCTCAGACATCGCCTTACTGTCTCCTTCATGAGGCCAGACTCTGCCACCATATCCTATGTGGACCTCAGTCGAGTGGGAATGATGGTAGTTGCTCAGTGTGACAGTGTTCGGTGTATCACTACCTGAGAAACATGTTGTAGTACGTACTGCTCAGTGGTCCTCATCGTGGAGACTGGTATTTCCCTGATGGAACTAGACTGCCTTTCAATGGAGATGGTGATATCTATGAGAATCGTGTATCTCAGAGAGTTCACTTACATCGTAGGAACAGTGCTAACTCACCAGTTGGTATCTATCGCTGTCATATTCCAACTAGTGCTGTCCATGACCATGATATCTCAGTGAGAGACACGGTCTATGTGGGACTGTACAGTACTACAGGTGGAGGTAATTACACAATATTCTGAGCCATAAATAATTATTGCGATGCTTTAATAATAGGTGTGATCACAATATCTGGAGAGTTTCAAATGACATTTTCTGAAGTCTCAGACCTCAATGGAGCCAGTCCTCAGTTCATCCTCGCCTGTATCTCCACTGGTGGACCTGCTACCACTGTCACTTGGACCAGAGACTCCACCACTGTCACCCAAGGAGCCCAACTGTGTTGAATGACCCAGAGACTGCACAGTACACCCACACTCTGACGTGTGGCTGGAAGACTGCCTGGACTCTACACATGCACCATAGCTAATAACAACCCTCAACAGCTTCTGCTAACTTCACTGTGGAAGGTATTTATAATCCTATATAGTGTAAGTTTAGTTTAGTAAAAACAATCTTTACGTAGTCTTCTTCAGCCCACTTGATGTGGTAGCAACTCAGGAGAGTATCAACAGTACTACACTGTCTTGGAAACCAGTCCCTGGTGCCACTGGGTACCTAATCTACTATGGGAGCAGTGGAGGTCACTGTGACACCATCAACATCACCAATGGTTCAGTCAGCACTTACACACTGACTGGTCTCCAGAATGGACAGAACTACCATCTGTCCATTGCAGACACATCAAACCATTTCCAAGCAACATGTACACTACTGAATAGGCTTAGGTAAAGCAATCCTAATAATGGATACTCTTCTTTATCTTTTTGTATATGTTTCCAGGCAGGCCCATTTCCATGGTCAAGACGAGCCAATACCTCTGTTTTTCTCTCCTGGAGTGTTCCAAGTGGATCGGTAGTAACATGTTTTGAAGTGAAGTGGTCCACAGACCAATGTCCTTCCAAATCGGATAACGGCAGTGTTATTGCTTCAAACACATCCACAACTTATACCATACCACACCTTAGAGGTGGCACTAGCTACAATATCGCAGTCAGTGCTATTAATTCAGCCGGCACATCACCCAGTCATAGAGTGACTGTAGTCACAGAGGAAAAACGTGAGGTTTCATTGAGTGTATTTTAAAACTGCTATAATTGCATAATTATACAGCTCCAGCTTCGCCTCCTTTGCCTGTTAATGTGACTGATGTGGCCACCTTCACTGTGACTGTCCAGTGGGGGACAGTCCCTTGTCCTGATCAAAATGGATATATCACATACTACACTATAAATATTTCGAGCGTGAGTGATAGTTCCAGTGGGAGCACTGGCGGGAGTGGCAATGGACCTGGCTGTGGGTGTGGTAGTGGAATTGACAGTGGGCATGGCAATGGGAGTGGCGTAAAGAGTGGTAGGGGTATTGGATGCAGTGTGCCTGTAATAGAAGAGGGTGCGAATGACACAGTAAGTGTATCAGTCCCTGAACACAATGCCACACTCACTGGACTGAGGCCTTCAACTAACTATTTTATCACTGTGGCTGCAGTCAACAGTGCTGGCAGTGGAAAACAGAGCGAGCCGCTTTTTGTGGTGACTAAAGGTCAGTTCTATTCAAATATTGAGTTTGTAAGTTACAATAAACTGATTACAGGTGTCCTGTCAGTCACCAACACCACCTCATTGTCTGCGAAGACTCTAACTATCGAATGGGAACTGGTCGAGGGGGTGACTACAGCCACTTACACCATCTTCTATTATAATACAGACACTGATTGCTTTCATAATGACACTGGTGCCGTGGATGATGTTGACAGTGGTGAGCAAATGTTCACTCTTACCGGTCTCGAAGAGGGGTCAACCTACTCCGTCACTGTGATGACTACTCTCTGTGGACTGCAAGACAATGAAGAAGACAGAATTATTGCCACTACAATGCCTGCTGGTGAGTATTATAACCTCTTTTGGTCGTATGTATAAGTCCTTTTGACTCCATGGGTATCTTCTTAAATAAGCAGACAATCATGTTCAAAGTATATAAATTCTTATGGACTTATAGAACCTCTGGACAGACTGGTTAAGTGTTAATTTCTTGTGCAGTTCCATCTGTGGCTCCTTTGTATGTGGAGGTGTTAGTAGAGAACTCTACCACTGTCACTGTCCAGTGGGGGCCAATAGATTGTGTCCACGAGAATGGAAAAATAACTCACTATTCTGTGAGGTATAGGGTGATGGACAGCAGTAAGCATAATAGTGGGGGCAGTGGGTTGAATAATGGATTGATTGAAATGGTGTCGGGAGACCCAGTGGGGGAATGACAACAATATCTGGACTGACCAAAAAGACAGTCTACACTGTCGAAATTGCAGCTCAAAACACTGCTGGTACTGGAGTGTACAGCAACCCTAAGAGTTTTCAGATGCCCAATGGTATGTTTCTTTTTGTTGACTTTGCTTAAAATACCAGTGTCTGATATTGTTTCAGATGTGTATATAAGCCTGAATGGTGACATAATTCAAAAATCATGGTCTTGTCGTGGTAAACAGTATTGGCTTCAACTACAGCACATCTCTACTTTGTCACTATGATGGACATCTTGATGCTAACTGTGAACTGGACTGGTTTAAACCAAATGGTAGCAGAATTACTACTGATAGTGCTGAACAAAGTACCACAAGTAACATGGTTGTCAGCTTGACAAGAACCACTGCTATTGCAATGGAGGGGATATATCATTGCGCATTATGCAATGGAAATGCATCTCGTAAAGTGTACGTAGGTATATACCCCGTTGACGAAGGTAATTTTCCACAATTAAATCATAACAAGTGCAAGCTCCATCTCTTCCATTGTAGGTCTAATCCAGATATATGGAAATGTTGCTTTCGTTCTAGATTCAAACCCCAATGAAGCTACTCCTCAGTTCAGACTCTGTTGTACGTCTACTGGGGGACCTGCTACCACTGTAACCTGGTCAAGAGATTCTGAGACTCTGAGTGAAGGAGCTGAAACTGTGTTGAATGATGCAACAACAGCACAGTACACCCACACACTCACTGTAACTGGAAATCTGGAAGGACTCTATGCATGCTCTGTGGCTAATGAAACCTCTAATGATTTGGCTCGGCTGAATGTAACTGGTAAGGTTTAGTGTCCATTATGAACAATATGTTTTGCATTATAATATACTCTAAAAATTGTAGCTCCCTCCCCACCTTCTGATGTGAAATTCAGTCAAAATGGACTGAAAAGTGTACTAGTATCTTGGACATCTCGAGTGCCAGCAGTAACTGGATATGTTATACATTACCAGGAACAAAATGGGGAACAGAATGGCTCACTAACTGCCGAGGGAAGTGAATCTGCAGCTAATATTACAGGACTAAATCCAGGGACTAACTATTCCATCGAGATAGTGGCTACCTCTAGTACACTTCCAAGTGACGCAACACTTAAATACATCACTATTGGTCAGTTGCACACTGATGTTTACATAACTGAACGTTCCTCCACAGAGCAAGCCAGCATTTCCCTGTATGCCACTCCCTCATACTTGGTCGAGATAGGGCACAATGTCACCCTCACCTGCTCCGTCTCTCTTCCTGAAGACGTAGCCGGCACTCCAGTGTATGACTGGGAAGGACCGGCTGATAATTTAGACCCCACACTCTTTGAGTGTGACGAGGACCCCTGCAGAAGTATAACTCTGTATGGTGTAGATGAGTCACAAGCTGGATTGTACGCATGTAGTGTGTCACTTGGTGGGTCAATCTCCACTAACACCAACATCACAGTAGTCGGTAAGCAACAACCTTTATTAACCAAAGTGTTCTTCAGATGATACGTTTTCTCTTAGTCACTATACCTGTGCCATCAATTGTTCCTTCTTCCCTAATGGCTGGAACTGTCGGCAATCTCACATGCTCCTATTATCTGAGTTACCCTCTCGTTGAAGTGTCTGCTACATGGACTTTTAATGGTTCATCAGTCGACCCTGACGACAGTAATCGAGTCACACTTGATGGAGTTAATCTCATGCTTTCTCGTGTTACAACCTCTGACAGTGGAACCTATACCTGCACACTGAATATCACATCTGGCAGAAAATACGTAATTTTCCAGGCACCAGACGAAGCCACTGCCAATGTGACTGTGGCAAGTAAGCTCTCACTGGCAAAAATTAATACTTAATACTGTATAAAAGAGACAGGTTTACGAAGTTTTGGTTTTTCCCTGCAGTCCCTCCACCTCATGTACAAGTGTCTCTGAGATCTGGACCTCTCTATATTGGGACTTCCCTATCACTCTCATGTGCAGTGACAATCAACAGTAGTGTGAACAATAATGAGAGTGTGACTATTGAATGGATTGGTTCACTAGGAGGTCGGGTCTCAATTAACCATACATTGAGAGTGTATGAAAATACCTATGAAGGAAATCTAACAATCAGCCTTCTTTCTATGGACGACAGTGGTGCTTACACCTGTACAGGCACCATTACTGGAGGAAGTGGATCAGCTACAAACACACATAACGTCACCATCCAAGTTATTGGTGAATACATCATACACTTACATATCCATCATAAACTATGTTTGTTTCCCTAGACCTCCCAGACCCGAATGTGACTCTTTCAACTGCTATTGGTGTAGCTGGTGAAGTGATAGAGTTGATATGTACAGTGACTACTGTGGAGTATCTTTCAGAGAGTGCAATACTTAGTGTCACTTGGAGTGGAGATGGTGTAGCCAGTAGTGGAGTAACACAGAGCGAACCAGTTCTATTAGTGAAATTGATAGTATGAGCACCCTTATGTTTAGCCCCCTGAGTACTTCACATGGAGCTGAGTACAGTTGCCAGGCTGTGATTGATATTCGAGCCCTCAATATTACCAAGACTGGTGTGGACTCTGCAGACCTTATAGTGCAAAGTGAGAACGCAATGCCTTCGGTGAATATTTACAGTTTTCTGTGTTTTCTTTCTCCAGTTCCTAGTCCCCTGGTGGTGGTACATGCACCAGAGAGAGAGTTGGTGGCTGGGTCTTATCTATCCCTCTCCTGCTCCATCACTCCTCTCTCTGTGGACACTCCCACCACAATAACGTCCACCTGGACTACTCCTAACACTACACTCAATGCAGTGAATGATACTAGCGTGGATCTTCCAATATCCAATGCGAAGACAGCAGACAGTGGAGTCTATATCTGCTCATCCACACTGATTGATTCCACCAGTAGTATGTACATAATGGACAGTGAACCGGGAAGGAATAGCACCACTATTATTGTCTGTAAGTATAATAGAGCTGATAATGATTGCGCAACATGTTCCTCTCTTTGTCACTAACAGAACTGAATATTAGGATCATGGCAGTGTACAACCCAGCACCTGGTGATGAGGCGGAGTTGCTTGGTCCAAACACTTTCACAGCAGGCAGCGATCTCGAGTTGCAATGTGTAGTAATGGGAAACAGTAAAAATCTGCTGTATAGTTGGTCTGTGAATCAGACATTTGTGCCATTCTGTCCCACTGATCATTGTGATATCAACGTTGCATCCACTACATCTAAACTGACAGTTGGGAAACCGGAACTTCTCTCCTACTATGCGGGCAACTACTCTTGTAGTGTCCGTGAAACTGACAGACCTGAATCACAGAATAGCCATGACTTCGCTGTAAATGTTGTAGGTGAGTTGATTTGTCTTCTTAAAACATTACACTAATGCATTCCATATAATTATACTCATGTATTATGTGCAGGTGCTGGGATATATGCCCTCGTATCCAATGACACAATTTCCACTGGTCCAATAGCCAACAATGGACTGATAGTTAGTACTAGCCGTGGGTTTAGATTGCAATGTGTCTCTGATTCTAACAAAACTGGTGTCGGGATTTTCACTACTCCTAACGATATCAACAGAACAATGCACTTTGATATCTGGAAGATAACTAATAACCCATTCAGTCGCCCTGGAGTTCTTCGGGTGCAGAATATAATAGGGCAACTGACTGCTTCAGATCAAGGCATATGCACCTGTACAATTTCAGATATCAATGGCAAGAATATATCCCTTAATGTCGGAGTTTATCCATCTGGATTCAACAGTGAGTTCACCACATGTAATTCATTTCAAAGTAACTTTACACTCTGCCCCGCAGAGCCTCCACGGATCACATCTCTCACCCACCAGGCAGGGAATCGCACTCTGACCTGTGTATCAACCGACTCTCCAGCCACCATAGTGAACTGGATGAAATATGGAAGATCTCTCACCACTGATGGCTCCTCACACTACACCCTTTCTCAGAGTATAACAAACAGAACCTCTTCAACGTACTCCAATGTCCTGACAGTTAGCGAGAGTGCCCCAGGAGTAGCTGGTACATACAACTGCAATGTTACAAATGACTTGGGGTCTGACTCTGAGACGGTCGTGGCTGTTGGTGAGTTTAATGCTCGTGATGTTAACTATAGCATTACTGGAAATTCATGGCTTTTTTTATTATTGTAGGTATTACCATTACTGGCCTGGAGTCTCCACTGATAGTTGGTGGATCGGCCACCATCAGTTGTATTACTAATGAGCATGCCTCCCTGATTGTGTGGAGTAGGCAAAGTTCCCAGTTGAACATGGATGTGAATGTGACGGTATTGAACTACACAATCCCCTTGGTTTCTGATGATTTGCAGGGAGAGACCTTCACATGCACTGCGGTTGTAAGCAATACAAATGACACAGAGAGTGTCATGCTGAGTGTTGCAGGTATAATTGTCTCCACCCCCCACTGTGATGTATAGTTACGCACTTTGTTTTGTACAGTCCCAACTGGTTCTCTGATGGTTGAAGGAAAAGTATCAGACTTTGGGCGTAACGGAGGCTGGTGGGATTGGCCCTACCCTGACCTGTACAGTCACTGAAACAATTCCAGGACTCACAAATATGCCTTCTGCTATCTGGGTGACAATGGCAGTGTCAGGAGGCAGCATTGCTGTGAATGATATTTTCAGAAATGGCACAACTGCCATCACTTCTCTCTCGTTTCCTGAGCTCCACACATCTCATGCTGGGCTGTACACATGTCAGGGAGTGCTAAACTCTTCAGGAGTTGACGATGGCCCCATTACCATCTCATCATCACCTGTCCCTGTCATTGTGCAGTGTGAGTGGAGATTCATGTCGCCTTAATTGGCGAGCAAAGCAAGTTGTGTGAATGCGGGATTTTTCTATATACTTGTTATGACCTGCACCGTACTGCGTTATACATGATTCTAAGTACGTGCGAAATACGCGTTAAAAATCGAACTGCTCGCTTCGCTCCGCAATAATGTGTTGCATTCCATATATGATATGTACATACTTTGTGCCTTGTAGTGCCAGATCCAAATGTGACATTGAGGACTCCTAGTGGTCCACTATACCAGGGAACCACTCAGACCCTCAACTGTACTGTCACTCTACCCTCATCGGTGGATACTGATGTCAACATCACTGTACACTGGTCACCAGACTCCTTCACTGAGAGAGTTACAATAACCCGTCCTTCCACTATGATGTCTCCATTCATCTCAACACTCACCATTAGTCCACTAGCCATGACTGATGCTGGCCAGTACTCCTGTGAGGCCATTGCCAGCTCTTCATCTGAGTACATTTATCCCAGCACCCAAGCCACAGTCAAGAGATGATCCTTTCAGTCACAGGTAAATATTTCGCTATACATAATCAATGCTGTTTCTTATCTCCTCACAGCTCTACCCCCTCCAAATGTCACCATAACATTCCCAATTACCGAGGTACCCACTGCTGGCCAAAGCTACACACTAAACTGTTCAGCAACAGTAGTGGATGGTTTGGTGGTGCAGCCTGACATGAAGATAGTGTTTCCCAACTCAACTGCTGTAGCACTCAGCAACACTAGTTCAGTGGTACACACATTCTCTCCACTAAGAACATCTGATGGAGGCCAGTACAACTGTACAGCCACACTCAACATCCCCCAGGCTCAAATAAGAGACTTACAATCTTCTGTAGTGACGAATATAATCGTAGCAGGTTAGTAGGCAACAATACTCAACTTGTTTTAATGATGTCCTTCATTCCTAAACAGTTCCCAAGCCAAACGTAACAATCTCTGGGAATATTTCTCTCGCTGAACTCTATTCTGCGACAGTCTTCACTCTCACATGCAGAGTCGAGGTTCCACCTGAAGTTGATACCACAGTGACTGTCTTGACCACATGGAGTAAAGACGGATATGACATCAACGACAACAGTAGGAGTCGTATCGCAGCGGATGGTATAGCTATCCAAAACAGCTCTGTCATTCACGTCTATGAGAGTGCATTGGTGTTCAGTCCTTTGAGTAACATGGATACTGGAAGAGACAGTGGTAGCTACAAATGCTTAGTAAAGATAAAAGACGGCCAGTTTATCTCCGGCATCACAGCCAATGCGACACAAACTATAACAGTACAAGGTCAGTCGTTGTACCGTTTCTCTGGTCTTACAATTTGTTTTTTTTACTGCTCTCCAGACCTGAGGCCTCCAATAGTGAATGTGAGGCCTCTTGGCAGCTCAACTGCTGGGGAGACGTACTCTCTCCAGTGTTCCGTGGAGACAGTAGAGGGAGTGAGGTCTAGGGACATCTCCATCTCGTGGACCACACCTAACGGAACCACAGTGATGTCTAAGAACATGACAACCACCGGCAGAGTTGCGAGAGGGAGTCTGATTTTCTCTCGTCTCACCACCTCACATAGTGGACAGTACATCTGTACTGGTAGAATATCAGCTGAGACTGTTGGAGTCAACATCAGCGAGAGTTTCAGTTTCACTGTTAATGTCTCAAGTAAGTTCAGGTCTCGCTTACGGGATGCTAAGTGAGAGTTAACTGTGCTAAAACTAGCACAGCTTGTAGTTGAGGCTTTGCCTTGTGTTGTACTGTGTTTTAGATTTGACTTGAACCACTCCTGAGCTTGCCCTGGTAGCTCAGTGGGTAAGAGTGCTCTGCCTAGACTGCAGAGTGTCGTGGGTTTGAATCCCCACCTTCTTGGAAAAACACTTTTACTTTTATCTTTTAACTTTTTCCACAGTCCCAGCTCCCAATGTGTCACTAAGTGATGGTAAAAACAGTGGAGCAGTAATCCAGGGAACAGCGCTGGTCCTTTCATGCTCTGTCCTAGTCCACAATGCAGTCAATACTGACTTTACTGTCAACATCACATGGAGCAGTGATCCTATTGGGGCCCTAAATGGGCAACGAGCCACGGTATCTGAAACCAAAGGCTCTGGGCAGCAGTATGGCAGCTCAGCGACAATTCGCCCTGTCAATACTTCTGATTCTGCCAATTTCACTTGCACAGCGAGTATACTACCTAATGAAATCTCTTCTGTCATTGCCAGTAATGAGAGCAAACACACAGTAGATATAGCCGTACAGAGTAAGTTTTTTAACTTCGTAAAACCTGACTGTCGTCAACTTTTATTGTCCCACAGAACTGACAAAGCCTGTTGTAGCAAACGATACAATTAGCTCAGTTGCTGGCCAGTCCTTCTCAGTAGACTGCAACTTTAGTGTAACTCCTAACCTTGTTGGCTCTCTCACTGCACACTGGTTGAACTCCAGTGACTCGCTAGTCTCCGAAAACAGCAAACTATCGTTTCCTCGTCTCCTGATGTCTCATGGAGGAGACTACATGTGTGTGGTCACCATTTCCATACTCAAACTCAACCTCTCACTCACTGGAACTGCAAAAACTACCATCATAGTCCAGAGTAAGTTATTACGATGTATCCCTTTACTCCTCATAATAAATAATATAATAGTCAATCCCTACAAGCATTTCTGTATAGTAGTTTTCCCATCTACTCTTGGTATCACTGTGTTCTTGTCTGTCTTGTTTACTTATCCGGCCATCTATTGTTATTCTGTAGTACCAGCTCCTTCAGTTGTCATTGAGAGGGTTGGTGACCCATTTAATGGGTCAGTGTTCACACTCTCGTGTATTGTGACAGTGAGTCAAAGTGTAGACACTAACATCAGTATCTCTACCCAATGGGGTCTACCTGTGGCGGACAAACAACCTGAAACCATCTCCAATGTGACCAAGAGAGTAGCTGAACTGGTGGGGCATCACAATCTCACCTTCAACCCGCTACGCAGTCGAGACAGTGGGCAATATGAATGCAACGCTACAATCAGCCCTGGACATGGTGACACTGTTGCACAAAACACTGCTGTAAAACATTACCATCTCACCGTTCAAAGTGAGGAAATAACAATGTATTGACATCTTCCCTCATACTCTCTCTGTTCTCTAACAGAGCTACCACCACCCAAAGTTTTAATTGCCATTAGCTCTACTGCTGGTCTGGGAACAGAGGAATGTCTCGGACTAGTTCTAGAGACGGCATCTGACTCAATAGTCTGCCAGGCTGGAGTGATAGCTAATCTATTCAACAATCCGAACATCTCTCTCTGGAGAGATGGAATTCTACTCCATTCAAACTCAGCTCTCAACTTAAATTACACTCTGCCCCATAATGAGTCATTGGTAGGAGAATATAACTGCAGCGTCTGTATTAGCATCCCAGAGTCTGGCATAGAAGACTATTGCAGCAACGATACACTTGCAACAAGCCACAAGAGTAAGTAGATAGCACTCCGAGGAGTTTAGGCATAGCTAACATGTTGTTTCTTTCTTTCTTGCAGAGCCTGAACCAGTAGTAGCTCTAATAACAAGTACTCATAATGACTCCCGACTGACTATGAACTGGAGTCACTCCAGTGACTATTACTCGGTGGTGAGGTACATTGTGAACGTGAGGCAATACGTAGCCGACGGACCAGGAAAGGTGATGATACAAACAGTTAGAGGCTACCCGAGGGAGCTATCAGGGGGACAGCTTAGCCACACAGTTGGAGATCTGAGTAAGTGTCTGGCAGTTTACCTGGTAGCTAAATAGCCCCTGAACAATGTTTTACCTGGGAGCACCTCAAGAATGTTTGAAGTATCAAAATTGGGAGGGAAAGAACCAACTTCTGTCGGTAGTTGAACTCAGGTGTCGTGACTGGAAATCGAAATCCAGTGCACCACACACTGCGCTGCAACTCCCAATGCTGGCCTTTCTCATTCCCTCTAAATTCTACTCTGTTATGTATAGTTTGTGTTTCATCTCATGCGTAGAGCCAGAGGTTCCATACGATGTTGAGTTGGTAGCTGGCAATGGAGTTGGATGTGGAAAAACGAAAAGATCTGACCTAACATTCACAAGAGAAGGAGGTTAAACTATAAAACTTTTATTCGTGTCATGCTTGCATGGGGACTTTTACTGTAGCCCCAAAGATCGCTCCTGGTGATGTGGAGGTAGAATGGCTACCCAACGACACTGCCATGAATGTTTCATTCACAAGACTAACTATTGTCGAGGCCAACAGTATTCACATAAACTACTTCATCAGATACTCCTCCTCTCCCCTGGTGAAGAGAGATGTCGATAACAAAACTGTGAAGATGAATGATGGCAGTACAACAGTGATAGGAGGTCTGGATCCATACTTAGACTACCATGTGGTAGTAGATGCCACCAACAGTCATGGAACAAAGTCTTCCTCTCCATATCTACTGCATGCAGGTCAGTTAAACAGAGTTAATATCTGCAATGAACTAGTTACCTACAATACAAGAGTAAAATATAACTGTGTGTGTGTATCGGTATTAAGAAGTGTCCTTAGTAATGTGTGGTACACATGGCCAGCTTATAGATTTGGAGCTCAAGTTGTATTGGCTATGCTGCCTTTGAAGTGAAGCTAAAAAATCACATTCATACCTCACTGAAGATGCTCATATTAGGTACAATAGTTCATGCAAACATCAACGAGGCCGCAAGGCAAAGGCAAGTCAACTACACTCAGGACAACTTGAGCTGGCCTAGGTGGGATTCAAACCCATGACACTCTTTCAGTATGGGCAAAGGGCTCTTAGCTACCCACTGAGCTACCTGGGAAGCTCAGGAGGCAGTGGCTCAAGATCTAAAACACAGTAGCTACAACACAAGTCAAAAGCAAACCTCTATACTATTAACTGTACTATACAACTATTAGCTTCCTGCCGTGTGTTATCTTTGCTTGCATGTCTAGGAAAGTAGGAGATAACACGCTTACATACATGTGTTGATGTTGAAAGTTAAGTCAGATAGTTCACCAGCCGTCTGTGTGGTTGTGTGACTCTTTAAATTAACACGGCCGAAATGATAAATCTCAATACTGCCTACTTCAGATTGTAGAGATCCATGTGGTATTGGGGTTTAATGTGCACACAAACTTCAACTTCCATAATTATTGTTGCAGTTTTAGACAAGGTTTTTTACATCTTGTATATATCTCGGAGATAATTAAAAGTGTAATCTATAATGCTTTGACACAATATTTCATCAGCACGAGTTGAAATTGGAGGAGCTCTATTTTTCTGGAGATGAGCCACGTAGCCTACATTAGAAGGGACATTATGGCCTTCCATAAGTTGCTTTGGGGTGTGTATCCCAGCGTTCAGTGCTGCTGAACTTGTGTAGATAGACTTTCCTCTTTTGGAGATGTGACTTTTGTGCGTGTGAGAGAGAAGAGTCTCGGTGACATTTCCATGAGGACCCAGTCTGCTACAGTCCTGGCCACTGTCATGAAAGTATTCAGTCCACCATAAAGTACAGGCCCCACCTGTACAGTAGGTGGTAATCAAGTTTCTTTTGTTTGGGGACTAGAGGAATGAAATTATCATCCGAATCCACAAGAAAGGCATCCCTGGAACCTGTAGATGCAGTTCTCATGGGCGAGCATCTGGGAGCGACCATAGACCATGTCTTTCGTTAGCCACCTGTGCCAGCAAGAGAACGAGACTAACCCATCTTTAAGTAGTTTTGGACAAACTCGTCACCATTTAGGACACCAGACCACACAAAGCTTTCTTCTGCCATCATGTATATGTGATCCACACCAAGATGCTTATAATAGCGGAGGAACTCCTTTGTGTATGGTGGATTGTCTCGGAGGACTGCCATGCACACCACAATACTTGATTCGTTCTGTTTTTCATTTGTGCACAATATGGTTGTTCCGATTCTACTCGATACAAGTCTCCACCATCCTTGACGCGGTACCATAGGAAGACACGTGCACCAGAGGAAGTGTTGGCTGGCAGTCCAAAGCAGTCAATCATGGCCATGTCGTGGTTTATCTCAGAGTGTCTGCCGTGAATCCATCTTGTATTCTTTACCACACGAACCTTCAGAACCTTACTCACTATTTCACTGGTACCACAGGCTACTATTCCACCCCCTTTCTTTGCCAGCTCCCTGTGAATCTCGACCAAAAACACGGAGGCATTTTTGAAGCCATTCCTAGAGCGAAGGTGACCTGGTATAGCTATATTTACCTTGTTCGATGGTAAGGAGAGAATTCTGTAGGAGCCGAGGACAGACGAGAAGGGCTTGACATTGGTTTCTTTTTTAAATGAGAGATAGCTACATACACAATAAGAGATGAGCTAGTGAACGTGGTTTATGTGTTCTATTCAAAGGGGTCGCAGGTGTACAAGAGGGATTCCCTGATTGAGCGGTGAGAGGAAACGGGAGCCCTGCACGGATTTGCTCTGCAAACATTGGCTGGGGAGGCTGTAGATTGGGGTAGACTAGCCAAATGATGCCCATTACCACCATGACGCCGACCTTAAAGTGGCGGATGTCTCGTTTCACCCTCGCTCTCTGCTGAGATCGAGCTTTGACTAGTAATTATGTCTACGCTTTTGGTTACCCCATCCTTTCTCCGCATTAGCCGGAGCTGTCGGACCTTCTACGCCGCCATTGGACCATAGCGGACTATATATCCCTTAGCTATATTATACGTAAGAGCCAGCTGGCGTGGAGTCGTCATGCCTAAACTCAGTTTACCTGGTAGCTGAATGCTACATCATAACTCAAAATTATTTTGTTGTCACCATGTTGCGCAGCTATGAAATGCATACCTGTAGGTTAGCAGTCACCACCCATAGCTAGCTATAGATACGCCGCCGTGCTGCGCGACATAAAGCGGGTGTCTGCAATCCACAATTTACACTATATTTGCCTATGCCGGGTATGCGCACCCACGTGCATGTGGCGGACTCGGCGACTTGTGCAAGACCATCGTGCAGTGCAGAAGAACCAAAATACCCATACCCCCATTGCTCAAATAGTGCAGGGTGGGTAGGGTCTCTACTAAAAGCTCACACAGTAAACATGCTACCTTTAAATAAGGCAGATGACTGTCTCATAAGAATGTAATGGTGCATTAGAGAAAGTGTGTTGTGTTATTGTTGAACTGGAGGGCCCTGGGGTTGCTAGAAGATTATGCGTCGCATTTATTCCTCTCTAGCACTCTCAGAAGACCAGAGAGAAAGAGACAGTACTGGAATAGTTGCTGGAATCATTGCGGTGATACTTATTATTCTGCTAGTTGTACTTGTGGTAGGCATTCTCATATTCCGGTGGAGAAAAAGGTATAATATAGGGGGAAGTAACACACAGTACTTACACACAAAACATTTCAATCAGGTCTGCTGTGAAACCTAAGCCTTTGTTGAGTGGCAAAAGTGGACTGTACACTGTCCGTCCAATGAAAGATTCAGAGGTGATTGAGCTTGATAGTAAGGTGTTCCCCACCAGCCAGCCTCCACCATCATATCCTGTTCAAGCTGAGACTGACACACCAAAATCCGAGAGTAAGAGTATTTGCCATGAGAACTATAAGTTAACGTTATATTTTTTGTCTGAGTAGACCCAGCAAGAATGGTAGCCATTCCGGTAGAAGACTTCAAACAACACTGCATCGACTACCACAAGTCGGGAGATGCCGGGTTTGAAGAAGAATATGAGGTATACTTATACTTGTATGATTTTTGCCCTCTCGGATCACTTTCAGTGACAAGATTCTCTCTTTGTCACAGTCCCTGGCTGTTGGTCCACTCGCAGTTCACCAAGTGTCACAGATGCTCTGCAACAAGCAGAAGAACAGATTTGCAAACATTTATCCATGTGAGCCAGTATCACCCACTTTTGGTGTATTATAGCTATAAAGTGATGTTGCAGACGATGATTCTCGAGTTGTGCTGGAAGAGATTCCTGGGGTTTTAGGATCAGACTATATCAATGCTTCCTGGATCAATGTAAAAATATGTTTTTCCTATAATGCCCCCACTGTTTCAAGTTTTTGTTTAGGGCTACAAGCATCCTAATGCGTACATAGCATCCCAAGGTAACACAATCTCATCCCAGTGTGAGAGTTGGCAGCTATATACACTTTTTCAAATCTGTAGGACCAAAGATGTCGACAGTAGGAGATTTTTGGAGGATGGTATGGCAGTACAAGGTGGACCACATTGTGATGGTGACTGGACTATGTGAAGGAGGAAGAGTAAGTTTTCTGTATCACAATGATGTGTCAAGTGTCCTGCTTGAACTGCTGAAAAGAAGGGAATAAAGTTAGTATACAAGTGTTGGGGTTGAAAAACTAAGTTCTCACTTACAATTGAGTTGCCACAATGTCTAGAAAGCACACGCTCTATTGCTATTGCCTTAGCACAAGTCGCTATATCTGTTGCTGTCATGTATCAGACAAAGTGTGAGAGGTACTGGAGTGAGGAGGTGGGTGGAACAGTGGAAGTGGAGGAGGCAAACCTCAAGGCCACTACCACCAGTATCACAACCCACAGGGACTTTGTCGTCAGAACCATGACTTTGAAGAAAGTAATCTTCTATAAAACTACGTCAGCTTTCCTTGCTGAGTTATATTATAGAGTATGCTTGCACTTTGTAGACAACTCAGTCAGATGAACAACCGCTGGCCGTGACTCAGCACCACTTCACTTCCTGGCCAGATCACGGAGTGCCCAGATTTGCCACCTCCTTCATTTCATTCCTACGGAGAGTCCAGAAGGCTCACAACAAGGACAGTGGTGTTCCTCTTGTGGTGCACTGCAGTGCAGGGGTGGGGAGAACTGGCACCTTTATCCTCTTGGACTCCATGCTCGAGCGAATCAAGGAACAAAACAGCATCAATGTGTACGAGTTACTTGTTAGTCTCTGTGAGAGAAGAGTTCTCATGGTCCAGACCCTGGTACGTACAATTCATGGTACACAAATGGAGGGAGCATGGTCTATGTGTTTTACACAAGTGGGCAACTTTAGCAGGGGACAAGGTGCATAGAAAGCCTGTAGAGACTATTGCTCTAACTGCAGGAGCAGTATGTGTTTGTCCATGATACACTGTGTGAGGTAATCCAGTGTGGAGACACAGAGATATCAGCCTCCAGACTGAACGCTGCTGTGGAAGTCATGGCCCAGAGCTTGCCTGGAGAGACTTTCACTGGATTCCAGCAGCAGTTTCAAGTCAGAATGAATAGTTGCCAGTGTTGTTAATACTTTTACTACAGTTGGAGTATGTAATGATACCATCTTCTATCTCACTGCACCTATCCCTATCTTGCACAAACTTTGTGTCCTACCTTACATGAGTGTGTCAATGATTTTGCATATTTTCTAAATGCATGAGTAGAAAAAGAGACAAACCAACTATCATTAATACTTTTGCTACAGTTGGAGTATGGAATGGTACCATCTTTTATCTCGCCGCACCTATCCCTATCTCGCCCAAATTCCGTGTCCTCCTCTAGCTATAATGTGTGTCTATATACGATTTGGCTTTTTTTTGTAGGCACATGAGGTATTGTACCTTCTTCTATCTCACTAATCCCTATCTCGCCCAAATTTCACATTCTTCCTTACATGTGTGTCAACGATTTAGCATGTTTTGTAGGCACATGGGTAGAAATAGAGACAAACCAACTATCCATAAACAACCAAACTGTGGCAAATGACCCCCTTTCTCTTTTGCACCACCTAAACCATTTTGTAACTTTTGCACCAGCTAGTATTATTGCTAATTGTAATTGTTACAATAATAGCTGCTGGAACATGTGAGTCGCAAGCCAATGGAGCAAGATTTTGTCAAAGCACATGAACATCCTTCAAAGAACCGCTACCCTGACCGCCTTCCTTGTATGCTAGTTTTCAATAACCTAATGTAGCTATTTTACTTGTGTGTATAATTATACAGATGTGGAGTTCATGCCATGCCTGAAACCAATTGAAAAAGAAGACTGCTACATCAATGCAAGTTTTATCGATGTGAGTAAAAGGTTCAACAGTGGGACTCTGAAATTAGCCTGAAATGATTGCAGGGATATAAGCACCACAGGGCCTACATCGCGACACAGGCTCCATTGCAGAGCACGGTGGGAGACATGTGGAGAATGATGTGGGAGGTGAAGAGCAACGTTATGGTGCTGCTGTGTGCCTTCGCAGAGGATGGCCACGAGGCTTGTCATCCATTTTGGCCCAATAACGAGGGGGACACTGCGTGGTATGGGAGGGTGACTGTCACTCTCCAGTCAGAGATCCTTATGGGGAACTTTGTCTCACGAACACTACTGCTGGAGGGAGACCAGGTAGATGGCCATAGCCAAACAGTAATCAAGGACGCGTATTCCATTCTTTTGTCACCGTTTAGGCCCGTGACAAAATTCTTTGGAGTGACAATTAGAGCCACTGTCAATTACTGGGTTTGTTTATAGTTATGCCGGTGTGAAGAAGTAGAGGAAACAGCTGTTTGTTTTAGAGTTTAACGAATGCAACTAAACCTTAAAGCTGTTAGTTTTTTCAAAAGGGTATACACTAGTGACTGACATGGAGCTTAGGTTAGAGGAAGTAAACGGCAGAAGAGACACAATCACTAGAAACACACGCTGATTGTTATGCAGGTGGTTGGTCAAGAGGGAGAAGGAAGAGTGGTGACCCAGTTCCACATGACAGACTGGCCAGAGCACAGCCAACCAGTCTCCACTGCCTCAGTCCTGGAGCTGTTGGATGTGGTCACAAATGCCCAGATGAACTCTGGAACTAGACCCATCACTGTCCTTTGCAAGTAAGGCAATCTACTGCAGTTGACAATGGCATGACTAACAAGTGATGCTGCACAAAAGCTGTTCAGTTGGGGGGGGAATCTCATTAACCCTCGGCGTGCGCGCGCAGCGAGGGTTACGGTAGTTGGATTGTCGTCTGTCTGTCTGTCTGTGTGTTGACGCTTATTCTGGCACTTCGGGCTACGAGGCGGCCAATTAGCGATACCGGCGGCTTCAGAACTACGCGAGCCTGAAAACTAAAAGGGTGATATTCCTGAAACGACTGCGTTCGAGAGATATGCCGTGAAAACAAGCGAAAAAGCCAATATGCATAATCGCACTGGGGCTGATCCGCTCGCTCTGTGTATATACCTTGGAGGCTCAGGAAGTCACAACGAACGGCATGTATCGACTCCCGCATGACTAGCCCGTGTCATACTCTCCGCGCGCTACTAGCGGGAGACCACTTATACTAATAGCCAAGCCCATCAATTAGTAGTATCGAGCATGCGCAGTTCGCCGAGGGTTTGCAGAACCTCAAGTGATTTACTACATGTAAACCCGGTGCCCTGGGGAAGATAATGCTCTGCTGATAAGGCCACCACAAGTCCGCTAACCTGTCATCTTAGACCGTTGTGGTTTAGAGCAAATGCTTTAAGAGCTGAAAATGTCAAACTTCAGCCAGATACTCATTCTCTATGCCAGGGCAGTTCTGAATACATTGCTGCATTAGTAGCTCAGTGGGTGTAAGCACTCTGCCTGGACTGCTTTGAAACAACTATAGGGATGACCTTTGATGAACGAACCACATGGTAGCATGCAACTCTAGAACATGTGTATGCGTATACACATGTATCTGTCTCTCTGTCAATTGGGAAACTTACAGAGTCATCCTGAGTGCATACACATAGTTGTGTTGTTTCCATTGCCACCTTTGCATTTATCTCCATCTCATGCATTTGTCTATTGCTGACATGTGTAGCTGCCACTGGGCCATAATTATGGTATACTTTCTCCCGACCCATGCAGTGATGGAGTGGGTCGAACTGGAACCTTCATCTGTCTCCACTCTCAGTTGGAGAGACTCAAGACAGAGGGTGTGGTGGACTTCTTTCAGGCTGTCAAGTCTGCTCGCATCCACAGAGCAGGACTTGTCCAAAATGCTGTACGGTGATCCCTTTTCTCCTTGTCTGCATCTCTCTTTCTCTACTATTATTGTTGTTCTATCTTTGGCTCTGACTGATCACCTGTGTTTCATCCTCTCAGGAGCAGTACGCTTATTGCCACGAGGTTTTGGCTGACTTTGTAAACGGCTACGACAACTATGCTAACTTCAAAGAACTTGTGTAGATCGTGTGTCCAGTGACACTTTGCACATAATACATAGGTTGTGTAGACGACTGTAGGTATGCTACTGACAGTTCTTAGTTTTTGAGAGTAAGTGTGTGTATTAGTGATTTTTCAGCTATAATATAGCAGCAGTTATTATGTGTATGACTGTACATTGTGCATGGTGGGATTGTCGGTGCTCTGGCCCCGAAGGCTTCTCACATCAAGTGGTTTGAATCCTTATATTATTGCCGAGCAAAACGAGCCTATACTTATAGAGTACTCCAGATGCAAGATTACTACATTTATTATAATTATTCCCGGCAGGCGATCACACATAGCTACCATCATGTTATAATACTGATAACAGAGAAACATATTATTGTTTTTGTGCTGCATATATACGTGTGACTATGCATGCCAAAAACGCATTGCATTCGTCAACATCGTATTTCCAAAATATTTAGCTACAAGCAAGCCTACTGAATTTGGGCACTCTGTAAGTGTATCCGCATAACATCACATTAAGCAGTTAGCCCTCTTCAGTTAGCCTAGGTTAACGCGGCTGGCGGGGTGCGGATACCCTCCGCAGCGGCTCTCGGTTCTTCCCCACCGGGCTCTTCTCCGCCATATCCTGCCGACTACGCCACTTGTGATCAGGACGAAGTCAGCGCCGAGGCCGGGACTGGTAGCTACTTGCGCAGTAGCGGTTGAGCTTGTTAACTGACAGCCATCTTAGGAACAGAGAGTGAATATGCATTGTACAACATCACTTTTATAGGCTGTGACCATTGGTGCATTGGTGATGATCCGGGCAACCACATACAAGAGAACATGACCATTACAGTGGTGTGAACAGGACTACAGTAGTCAGTCTGGTGCCATAGTGTGTGAGACAGCTGTCTGGTGTTGGAGAAACCTGCTACACAAGTCAGTCTGGTGCCATAGTGTGTGTGACAGCAGGAGGAACCTGTTACAGGATCGTAAACCGTCTAGGAAGAAATCGAAACAGCCAGACCTTGCCACGAGTGGAAGAGCCAGTCTACAAGGCGTCCATTGACTCCCTGTTAGCGTTTTTTAGCGAACCGACTGACCATAAGCAGTATTCTGGCAATGATTCATGGAATGTTTTATGAAGTTTCAGGCAATGCTTTCGTATTGTGTCCCATGATTCGGGTCAAGTTTAATTATACTTCCATGTTTTCTGCATGTTTCAGGCAATGAAATATGACATTAACTATCCAATTTCTTGGCTATAGACAAGTAGCAGGCCACACCGCTCCGCCGTGGATATCAGACGAGAGAAAACAGCAGAGCACTCGACAAACCTTTTGCGCATGCGTATATATCACTTTTACGCTCACGGCAAGAGAGCTGCGACTGATGGTCATCGCGAGTTTTATTGTGGTGGTACTGTGGCCTGTGCTGTTAATCAGCCATGCAGGCTGTGTCCAGGACCAAGCTCCAGGAGATGATGTAGCGATATGTATATACCGATGAGATCGTTAATGGAGAGCCCAATCCGTTCTTTGCTAACCGCCCAATGTACTCTGTCAATGAACGACCTCTCATGGACTCCAGAGACTATAACCGCCTGCTTCAGGAGAGTGGCGACGCTTATGTACCGTGGCAGAGCCTGGATTGGGACAATAACAATACAAACATGTTTGTAACTGAGGTAAGGGCAATCCCTCTATTATAATTTGCTATATAATTATTATAAAAGTAATTTCTCTCAGTGGACTCAAACTGGATTATCCACATTATCCACATGTGCTGGGACAGTGACAGTGTGTGGATTCAGGGAGGGAGCTCAAGAGAACTGGCTCATCACACAGCACATCAACACAGTGCTACCAGGAGGAGGAGGAGAGAGACTGAGGAAAGTGACTGTTCAGTTTGAGGGAACTCTCAATGGATGTGATATCAGTAGACAGTGCAGACAGAGTTTTGAACTATACAAGTGGGAGAATTCAGCCATTGACAGAAATGGAGCAACTAACACCAACAATTATGTCAGAGTTGGTCGAGTCTCTCCTGCTGTTACTAGTGGAGTCATGTCCTTTGTTGGCTCTCATGATATATATTGAATTGGGCACCACAGGTGGTTTTTACTTGGGAGTTGTTGACTTGAGCACTTGTGTTACTCTCACAAGAGATTTCTGGCAATCTTGGAATCATTAGCAAAAAATTGGGCCAATTCTCCAGCCATCTTCTTGTTTGAATGCAGTACGGACAACGGCATACCCCTCCACTCCTCCATCCTCACTTACTGCTGCGTAGCTATGGCAATTTGGGGCTGAAATCAACCTTTCTAAAAACGACTCATGTGGATAAACGTGTCGTAATCTAACAACTCTTCAAACGGAACTTCAGTAGCTGGTTTCAAAACTACTCCCACTGCGTTTGGGACGAAACGCTCTAACAATCCTTGGGTTATAGCTATACTTTGAATGTTGTGCGCTTGAGTCTCCATTCAGGTTTGAACCCTTGACGCCCGTACATGGGTACCATTTCGTCTGTTGTGTCGAGCGCACAATTACAACCCTCAGGTACGGAGCAAATGAAAATTTCCAAGTAGCTATATAGCCCATACCCCTTTCCGCGGTGCGGTTCGTCTACACTGTATAGGGCAACGAAAGCATAATTTTTGCAATATTTCACGACAGAAAGACAGCTAATTATTTTGCATAAAATCCTGACTTGTCAGTTGAAAAGAAGCTTACATGATCTATATAGGATTCCGGGATTCCACCCTAGTTCAACGGGACGAACACTGCAGCCATCTCTTCCGCAGAACAAATCTGTCGCACCTTGAAGTTTGCCGACGCCATTTAGCCCACTGCTTACTCTAGAAGTTGGCTCGGTTACTGTCAGTATTCACCCCTTTTTATGCGGCAAGGCGCGTAACTGCGTCAGCACGACTCTATTGTAGAGTACGGAGTCCTCTCACGAAACTAGCATAATATTATCAAAAGTGGCTATTGGTTCAGCGGAACTAGGGGGCGAGAAAAATGGCCGACTGAACGTACTGACCATAAACGCAGAGCTTCAACATGCCTCCACAGTGCTGCCGCTGTAATGGGAAAGGGCGCTGTAAGGGCTGTGTGTGTGCTCGCAGTGGAACAGTCTGTACTAACTGTACGCCGAGTCATATTGGAAGATGCGAGAATTATGGAAAAGCGGCACGTAGCTACTGACGAAGACCTTGTTGACAGTGCGGGCAGACCCGATGTCGTGAGCGACCAGCTAGAGAGATCGAATAGCCAACAGACATTAACTCTGACTACTGGACAAGAGATATACGTCGAAAACATGGAAAATGCGCTTCTCCTTGACAACCAAATTTCAAACATGGAACCTGTGTTGCCTTTCCGTGACAACCAAACACCTACCATTGACCTTACCTCATCGCATCAGCAACCTGCTGGTGATAGTGGCAATTACACCGATCCATGGCCACTACCAACGTGTTCACAACCAGATTTTCAATGGGGACAGCTTGATGGACAGACCTTTTGCAAGATGATAGACACAGCTTACAATGATATCATTCATTGGAAGCGTAATCTCTTCCTTCTTCCATCTGGTGCGGCAGGAAAATCATTCATCCAAGAAATCACTCGTTTGTTACAAGCTTTTGCGAATGGCTCACAACTGGAGTCTATTGCTCTTAAGGCAAGCTTTGTGATGCAAATCCTACTCCTACAAAAACCAAGCAAAAAAGCAAGAGCAAAGACCACATTTCTCACCTGAAGAGACGGTTGGAGTTATGGAAACAAGGTGATATACCTTTACTCATTCAAGAGGGTAGGTGCATTCAACGTTATCTACATAATCGTCCAAGACCGTCTGATGACAACGCCATTGCACGTAACTTTGGTAAAATGATGGAGCAGGGGAAAGTAAAGAGTGCACTACGTTATCTGTCCCGAAATTCAACTGGAGGTGTTCTAAATCTTGATGACATGATACCATCTGCCTCTTCATGCTCAGAACCGGTTCTGCGATCCACCCGAGATGTTCTCCAAGACAAACACCCAACCGGAAAACCTCCCGATCCATCATCTCTTCTCACTAGCTCCTCAGAAACCAACATCCTAAATCCAATCCTCTTTGAAAACCTAAACACGGATACAATTCGCAATGCAGCCATGCACACCCAGGGTTCAGCTGGTCCGTCCGGTCTTGATTCGTTTGCTTGGAGGAGATTGTGTTGCTCTTTTGGCTCT